TTAAATAAATAAATATCATATATATTAATTAATAAATAAAAGACAATCATGGCTATATAAGAAAAAATAGAGAGATAATAACAAAGTGGAAATTTTGAGTCGAAGTTATTAGACTTTGATGTGAAGATCTTACCACCAAGTCGTAGTGATGGCTTGGCACACCGAGTCGTAGATTGCGTCTTGCCATGCTATGTCGTCTTGTCCCAAGTGGCCACTAGTTTGGATGTTGGCCACGACCTAAGGGAATCGTGGGTTGGAGATGAGTGATGGCCACCTTGAGCATGTCAGATAAGAAAAGTGTAGTCGCCTCACTGAATTGTTGACGAGAAGCCAACAAGGCTAGGGTTTCTTGTTGATACACATGAATGAAGACAACATAGGCGGCATAGCTAGCCACTTGAAAGACGTAGGTACCATGGTGTGGTTTTAGAGGAAAACTTTTCCAGTTTTATTGAACCTGTGGTCATGGGTGAGTAGAGACAAGCCTTGTTACTCGAGGACCAGTTAGAGAAGGGATATAAGTGGTCAAGTTGGTCTCAACTACTTAGTCCATAATCCTTATGCACTAAGTAGTTGGGGGCATTTGTTTACACCATAAAATTTGTTTTGTACCACATTGGTGAGTTACAAGATAATCAAGGAGTTTATAAGGCCACACCCATTATAACAATTAATGTTGTTTAAATTGGGCCTTATGGATATTGATTTTAAACCCAAGTCACTAGCTCATTAATGAGCATGGGCATGATTCAATAAGGGACATTGGCCTCTCGTAAGAGGCCATGCCATGCCACGAGATGGCATGAAAATTTCTAAGTATGAGAAGTCCATGGCCATGAATGAAGAGGCCATGCCGCCTCATAACCAAGACCAAACGACACAAAAACATGTCCATCTAGAATTTAGAAGCACATGTCATCTCAAGGAAGACCTCGATACGGTCAAAAATATTCTAAGTCTCGAGAAGGGCATGCCACTTCACGAAGAGGCCATGCCGCCCCATGACCAAGGCCTAATGACTGAAAAATAAACTAAGTCTGCAAGAGGTACATGCCACTTCAAGGAGAAGCACGTGCCGCCTCACGAGAAGGGGCATGGACGCGAGACAAGAGGCCCTAGGTATGATTGAAAAATGCTAAGTATGAGAAAGCAATGCCACATCAAGAGAAGAGCCATGTGCATGATTGGGAGATCCATGGCCGTGTCACGAGAGGGGCTATGGACGCATGATCACGAATCACACTTCAAAGAAGACAAAGATATTCTAAGTGTGGAGAAGGACTTGTAGCTTTAACGAGGAGGGTCATCTCCCTCTATAGATCGAGAAGGTCATGCCACTTCACAAGAGTGGCCATGGACACGAATGAGAAGGGCGTGGTGGTGGAGCACTATATCAGTAATGACTAAGTCCCAAGTGGGCCATGGACATGGGTAAGAAGTCCATGGCCATGAGACAAGAGAACCATGACCCCCTTTGCGAGACACTACATGCTCGTCAAAAGACTAGCATGGCACAAGATTCAGAACAAGACCAGGCGAGGCAAGCTACACTCCCAAACCCACGACGGTTCCAAGAGAGGCACCTAGGCGGTTGAAGGAGTAACCACCACTCCGAGGAAGCAGGGAGCAGTTCTTTTTGGGAGTTATCCAAGTGGCGGTTTTCTACCGAAGAAGGAGGAGCGGTTCTTTGTAGCAATTATCCAACAAGCGGTTTTTTATGGCGGTTACCTCCTCGGGGCTATAAATAAGAGGAGGGGTCGACAGAGACTGGGAGCCCAAAAAAAAACCAACACTCTGACATATATGTCAATTTTATCCTTTACCTTTTCTCTATCATGTAGCCATAGATGTAGTTCGTAGTTTGGAGCTCTCGCCGAACCTCGATAGGAGTAGAAGTAATTTAATTTAGATCTCGTTCCCAGAAACCATCAATCAAACACCCTCGTTCGAACTTTGTTTGAAGAGGTGTGAGTCGTGTCTTAGTAATCATTGCCCAAAGAAGTCAAAGGTGGAATCCATCTCAATTGAACAAGTGTTTTCTCGCCGGAAAACACCACCCCACCCTGCCTTCCCTCCTCTCCCTCACATGATATCCTCTCTCTCTCTCTCTCTCTCTCTCTCTCTATATATATATATATATATATATATATATATATGAGCATATGAGAGGCTCTAATATGAAATTTTAATTTTTTGGTACTGGTTTTCTTTGTTTCATTTTATGAAATTGTATAATTTTGTTTTTCATAATGATATTGATTTATTTCTGCAATGGGTATGTTTGATTTTCATAATGGATGGTATTGATTATCATGTAATGGTATTAATTTGCATATTTGGTTTTGATTAAATCTGCAATGGTATTGGTGTTTAGTGAAATGATAGAATTTTTATTTCTCGAATGATATTGGTGTTTTGTGCAATGGTAGTGCTTTTCGAAGTGGTACTGGTTGTTTAATGGATTGATATTGATTTCTTGTTTTTTGTTATTATTGGTGTTTTTTGAAGTGGTAGTGGTTGCCTAATGGATTGATAGTGATTTTGTTTTTGCAGAAAAATTGAGAAAAATATGAAAAGGAGATCTGGCTGGAGATTACGGAAGTGAGAGAAAAGAGATAAATATAATTAATAAAATTTTATAATTCCCTAAAATGTAATTTATTAAAAAAATTAATTAATATAAATTATTTTTCTATATCCAATTTACCCTTAGTAACCATGGTGATTACTACTTTGTAGTAGTCACCGTAATCTGTCCCGGACGTCTTAGCTAGTGGAGTAACAGAGAGTCATAGAATTAGAGATGTTTCCAAATATGGTAACCTGGGAAGATAAAACGTGTTTCCCTATTTGTAACAAGTAGCAATATCTTGAGGAAGAGGACGGCTTGGGATAGGGTGAGTAACCGTTTGTTACTCACCCGTCAGTAACCACCTAGGAACCGTTGATCTGGGGCGGACGGATCGTGTGGCTGTCATTGAAGCGGGATTGTTAGGGGCATTTTTGTCCGTTATTTGAATTAATGAGTTTCCCTTTATGGCTGACTTTTCAATGAAAGAGAGAGAATAACTTTTTCTCTGCAACTTTACTTTAATCCTTCTCTCTTCCTTTTTCCAATATCTTTCCAGATCCTTTCTCTTTTTCTATTCCTTCTCTCTTACTTTTTCTCTCACAATCTCCATTTCAAATCTAGATCTGTTCTCTTACATCTTCATTTTTTTTTTCTAGCAATCGACGAATAAAAATTGAAGTCACCCTCTTTAATTGTGTTTCTTCTCTTCATCAACTCGTTGGCTTTAATTTCGATCTTTCTCTTTTTTTTGGGCGTTTGGTGTTCTTTGGTTGCGGATGAAATGAGATGAGACAGAAGACAAGTTTTTTTTCTCTCTCTCTTTTTGTTTTTCCCCCTTTCTTTTAGGTAATATATATTGGTATTACCACACTATACCATAAGGTATTATGTGGTAACGAAATATATATTGGTATTACCATTCTATATCATATGGTATTGCCACTCTATACCATATGGTATTGGGTGGTAACGAAATATATATTGATATTACCACACTATACCATATGGTATTGGGTGGTAACGAAATATATATTGATATTACCACACTATACCATATGGTATTGGGTGGTAACGAAATATATATTGGTATTACCACTCTATACCATATGGTAATACCACTCTATACCATATGGTATTGGGTGGTAACGAAATATATATTGATATTACCACACTATACCATATGGTATTAGGTGGTAACGAAATATATATTGTTATTACCACTCTATACCATATGGTATTGGGTGGTAACGAAATATATATTGATATTACCACACTATACCATATGGTATTGGGTGGTAACGAAATATATATTGATATTACCACACTATACCATATGGTAGTAACGAAATATATATTCATGTGGCAAAAATTTTCATACCATATGGTATGCTTTTATTTAATACCAGTCAATACCATATGGTATAGACTGGTAATAACTGACAAATTTTTTTGTGTCCAAAAAATATCAAAGTGGATATCATTTTGAAGAGCACAATTAATTTGATCTAACTGTGAAAAAAAATTAAATTTCGACTTAAAACGAGTGAGAAATCGTCCGTTAAAGATTAAGGGAAGGAAAATTAAATGTTTTGCAAGGAGAGAGAAGGAGGCGCTGATGTGGTACGGTCAAAAGTCAGCCTTGGCAATAAATAGGAGAAAGTGCAATTTTACCGTGTTGCCCTTTTCACATTTAATTTAAATAAAAAAGTGACTGACACGTGGAGACCGCGGAAGGGGTTACTGATGGGTTACTGACCCATCCGTTACTGACCCGGACCTGAAGAGGACCGACTTTGAAAGTCAATGTAACTTCCTTTGGACGTGAAAATACCATACACATATGCACCTTCCTAGTTCCTACCTTCCCCTCGCCCTTTTTTGCTTTCGGTTTGATTGTTGAATAATGGAGTTCTCATCACTAAAAAAGGTTGTAAATTTGGGTGTATTGAAAATCACGTTGTAACTTTCTAAAAAACTTACAATTTTACATTTTGGAAGGCATGACTTTTGGGGTTCTAATTCTTTAATATTTTGAGAATTTAATTGAATCAATATTTGCAATGGGTGGAAATTGTAATGTTTGAAACTTCAACTTTGGTTGATCTCAAATTTTAAGACCTTTTCTCTTGGCCAAATCCCAAAACAATATGATCATACTAGTAACTATCTGTTAACCGCCAAACAAAATCAGTTAATAAAATCGAATCACTAATTAATTATCGACTAACTAACTAACAATTTACCAGCCCTAATCATACTGAAGTGCGGCCAACTGACCATTTCGCAGATCAAAGCTCAGGCCGGCGAAATTGGGAGTAGGGCAAGTAGCATGGTGATCTGGGCTTTTGCAACAGAGTCCAAAATGATGGTGGACCATTCATTTGGCAAACTGGAATTTCTCTATCGTTTGGGCTGAACATCCACCCATCAGGTTATTTTTAATGTATTTGAGAGTGCAACATTTTTCCGAGCAGGTTGGAATCTGGATGATAAGAAAATGCCTCATTTTCAGTTTAACCATGTTCATCCAAGTATGTACTAAAAATTAAGCATTTGTGTGCTGGTATGACAAAAATTAATGTTCGTGCAACGGAATGATAGAGATTACAAAAGTTCAAAGGTCAAATTGACCTTCTATACTTCGATTTTGAGGACGACGAATAACAATCCTCATTCTCATTCGCCTACCGAGATGCTGCTTAACCCAACAATGGTTTCCTTTCTCCTTTCTCAGGAAACCCTCCAGTTCTGCTGCTGAAAAATAAAAAATGTCAGTCGCTAAACACAAAATTTACAGTTGGAGCGTTTGCATATTGTACAAGCTACCCATACATTAAAGAATAACAAACTCAATTCTACATTTGCGTACAAGTCAGCAGCGGTGCTGTTCCAACCTCTTCTTGCTTTCTATAGCCAACCGCTGAGGAACATATAAAACACTCAATCTGTGTATTGTTGTTGTCCCTGTTATATATATGCACCCGAGGTCGGGAGGGTTTCAAAATCGATCTCCATCATCGTGTATACAGTATGGACATATTGAGGTTTCGATGAATCGTATCATGAATGAGAAGTTAATTCCCATCTATGGAATTCTGCTTGGACAGTTCTATCCCGTATGACGAAGACCTGGAGGCAAAAACTCCACCATGTGAAGCAAGGTAAACGATGAATGACAGGTATGCAACTGTTCCACCGCATGCCAGAAGCCCAAACAGCAAGCCCTTTACTTCAGATGCAAAGAAATCAATCATTAGATACCCATTGATCAACATCACCACTAGAGCTACCGTCCAGGCCATCCTCTGCAAGTTTCCAAAACAAGTAATTAGGGTTCTTCCGATAGTCATTCATGTATTGTGGAATATCTGTAACTTAAGGGGCCATGTAATTTTTGTGTGGATAGATTGAAGATGCGTGGATACACGAGACTGATACACAGGGGTTTTCATCCCAGATTCATACAAGAACAGTGCATCGTCAGTAACCATTTATTCTCAGGTTCAAAAAAAGAACCCTTGCTTAAGGAATGACCCCTAAAATGAAACATGAATATTTGATTGATTGAATCCACATATATTCTATTATCGAAAGCGAAATGGCTACAACTATGCGGAAATAAGATAAATGATACATATGCAAGTGATAAAACAGCCAAGCATTGAAGAGAGGAGCTTACCTCTATAACTGGGCCAACTTTGAAGACTCCCATGACCTGCTCCTTAGCAACCAAGGTAAGAAGAGGGATAAGAGCAAATGGAATTTGTATCGACTGAAGCACATTCAACCATTCATTCAAGACATCTAAAGAGGCTTCTGATTTATTGAACACCAGAGCAACTATTATGGTAGGTACAATCGCAAAGCTTCTTGTTATCAGCGCCCTTAGCCATTTCTTCAAACGAAGGTTAAGGAAGCCTCCCATTATAAACTGGCCGGCATATGTGCCAGTTATTGTACTGCTTTGTCCAGCCGCCAATAATCCAATACCCCAAATGTAAAGAATTGGGAAAACTCCACCACCATACTTCTCTTCAAGATACTGCCCAGCATTCACCAGCCCTATGCTGTTGGCCTGTTTGGTGCCATAGAATCCCTTGGCGAATACAGTTGTGACAAACAGATTGATCACGAAAGATACCAGAAGAGCAATTGACGATTCGATGTTGTAGTATTTCAATGCCTCCCGAACTTTGCCCGTCTTCTTAGGATCAATCTTCCTTGACTGTACCAAAGCAGAATGCAAGAAGACATTGTGAGGCATTATCACACAACCCACAACTCCAACAGCTTGCCTAATGGTCTTCGAACTAAGCCTCGGTATCAAAAGACCTACAGTAACAAAATTATTACCAAAATCAAATCACTCCATCACAAACTTCTGAACGGATCAAGAGAAAGAAGGCTAAGACTCTTATTTACCAAGCAGAAGTTCTTTCCCATTCGGTTTAGCATCTCCGAACATCCAAGCAAATGATGAAGCCATGGTAGCAATCAGAATTGCAAATACAGCCTCGAGCTTTCTAACTCCATAATTCTCTAGAAATAAAAACATAAAACTGGGGAAAAGAAGAATCAAGGTAAAGCGAAGTTAAGAAGCAATTCATTGGTTATTTGACTAAAAATTTGAAAGGGGAGGGAAAATCAAACCCGTACCAATCTGAAGCAGTGATCAAAACTCCAGTCCAGAGAGGCAGAACCCCACGGCTCAAAATCTGAATAGCTATTGCACTACCTATAACCTCCTGAATATCGGCGCCAATCAGGGCCACCTCCGCCATGAACCAGAGAATCAACCTAGCCCAATTAGGGTACTCGTCACGGCAGAGCTCCGCCAGGTGCCGCCCGGTGGCGACACCGACCCGAGCCGATAGCAGCTGGATGAGCAGGCCCATGGCGGTGGCCCACATCAGCAGCCAAAGAAGCGAGTAGCCGGCGATCGCACCTGCCTGAAGATCCCCTTCTAAATTCCCCGGATCTAGAAATGCTATGCTCATCAAAAACCCTGGCCCTGTGAACAGCCAGAGCTTCTTCCATGAGAATGGCGGGACGTAATCCAACGGGAGGCTGTCGACCGATCCGGGGATTTCCTCCATATCTACAATATCGATTTTCTCCCGCGCCTCGAACGCGGTCTCCTCGGATTCTTCCCCGTCCGATGAAGGAGAGGCCGAAGGTAGCAGCCGGTTGGATTCACCGTCTTCCTTGGAGTCATCCTGCCGCGGCGTCATTGTAATTATCGCTTTTTCAGGATTCTAGCTTCTTGAATTCCTTATTTGTTCTTCCGCCGAGAAATTGGACATTCCGGCGGAAGAGGCGCGGTGGAGCTCAATTCCTGCGGCAGCGGCGAAGAGATCTCCTCCCCGGCTCTTCCTTGTTCTACTTCTCAGTTCTCTCCCTCCCTCCTCCCTCCTTCGGTTCTTATATTATAGTATATTATAGGCTTAATTGCAAGTTTGGTCACTCGAATTACTACAAAATTTTACGCTTGGTCACTAAAATTGGTTTATTCCATTAGTAGTCACTTAAATTAGTTGAACAGTCCAAGTTCGGTCACTCTCCGTTAACCTCCGTTAGACTCCGTTAATGACGACCATTGTATGACGTGGCTAACAGAAAATCACAGTCAACATATTTTAACCCTAAAAAATGACTACCCAACCCACCACGTCAAATTTGCCCGCCATGTCACCCTTCCCTACCCAACGCGCAATCCAACCCAATAATCGACCCAACCTCAAACCCGACCCCCCTGAATATGAAAAGTAAAATCGACAATCCCATGTTGCTCGCTCATCTTCCTCCTCTGCTGCGGGGGTGGCGGGGGAGGATTAGGAGACGCAACCACAACTTTTTTCTTCATCTTCTTCTTTACTTTCTTTCCATCCCACTCCGCCGATGACCTTATCACCGCCGGGACCGACACCTGACTGGCAGCCCTAGCAGCACATCCAAAGCCTTTGAAGGCAATGGTTCCCGTCTTCTTGCCGCCGACAGTACTGTTGTTGGCGATGGTGATTGTGATGGGTTCGCTTGAGTTGGGGACGAATGGGGAGATGAAGAGGGAAGAGATGGTGGTGGATTTGGGAGGGCGAGAGAGTTGTGGGTTGGGATCTGTTTTGGCTGCTGCTGCTGGGTCTAGCTGATGGCGATGAAGATGATGGGAATGGAAGTTGTTTCTACTGGACCTTCTAAGCTTGATTTGGTCCACAATTGTGCTGCTCTTCGGGAAAATAGGCATGATTACTGTTATCTAGCAACGAATCGTTGCTCCTGCCACAGGGAAACGGAGAACCCATAAATGAAGTGAAAAGGAAGGCAATGGAGGATGAGAGGACGATGGAGAATGGAAAGTGACCTACCCTTTCCTGTTTCGAGTTTACTTTTGAGATTCAGGGGGTTTGGGGTTGGGTCGATTATGGGGTTGGTTTGCGGGTTGGGTAGGGAAGGGTGACATGGCGAGCAAATCTGACGTGTCGGGTCGGGTAGTCATTTTTTAGGGTTAAAATATGTTGACTGTGATTTTCTGTTATCCATGTCATCACTTAACGGTCGTCATTAATGGAGTCTACGGAGTTTAACGAAGAGTGACCTAACTTGGACTGTTCAACTAATTTAAGTGACTATTAATGAAATAAATCAATTTTAGTGACCAAACGTGAAATTTTGGACCCTGTCGAAGTAAGGAACCATGACATATATGTTTGGAATAGATTCCATTTTGAGAGAGTTGAAAAAACACTATCTCGTTGAAAGATTCTATACATCTGCCCTTTTTCAACGCATTTCTTTAGACAAAGATTCCGTTTTTTCCTCTTTTCGGATGGTAAATATTTCTCAAAACATGGAGTGTGAATCAAACCCATGTTTGAATTGAAATTGAGATACTGATGCAAGTTCTCCCCTTCTGAATCAGATAGATTCATATCCGAAAGAGGTTGACAATAAGTTCTTTCAAAATTGACTATTAGCAATTCGAGTGACCAAACTTGCAATTAAGCCGTATATTATATATCAATCTCTTCGCACCTCTATACTCTATAGTCTATAGTCCGTCGTTGTCAACCCACTGGGTGGTCGAACCCAGTAGAGCTAGTGGATCAAGGGTTAATGGGTCACACGTTTTAGCTCGGTTTAGCCCGGAAATATGGAAAGAGTCGTTATATTATGTTTATCTTGATAAATTATATCAAATTTCATCTAACATATAAGTTATAACATATAATATTTCACCAAACTAACATGTCGTACTTAGATCCAACATATAGTAAAAATTCACACACTTATATAACATATATATTCAAATGTTCAACTTAGAATTCTAAAGATGGAGTTAGGCGAAAAGCTAAATCGGAAAATAGGCGCATTTCGCAAACCAAAGAAAAAAATGATACAATTTGACCTCCAACCCGGTACCTCGTAACGGTCGACCCGACGAGTGCGTGCGGCCGTTTTTCTCACCGGGTCAGGGTCAAAGTGGGTCAACCCGAGGGTTGACAACATTAACGTCTAGTGCGGTTATCTCCGTTATTTCATTTATTTATTTATTTATTTATTTTATATTTATTTATTTGTTTGCTTATTTTTTCTTTATCTTTCTTTCCATGGGTAAGAAATTCTCTCGCATCGTTTGTATATATGTTTCGTTTCTACACCTATTAGGAACCTACACGTCACTGTCTGTTTGGTTAATGGGCTGCCGTTTTATCAGTTTGTTGCCTTCACCCTCAGATTTCCATTAGGGAAAGTGGGGGAAAAAGAAAACAAGGGGATGCATAACATCGGAAAAAATCCAAAACTACCACTGTTAAAAATAAATTACACAAATACCACTCATTCCCAATAATTTCCAAAAATACCACCCTTCCACACAAAACGCGCCTCGAAGGTGCGGTTCTAAGTCAAAACGCTCCTCGAAGGCGCGGTAAACTGTCAAACCGCGCGGGCAAGGGGCGGTTTGACCCTTCGTAGCTGTCAAAACGCGTCGCCACGTGGCGGCCCATGCGACCGCGCGATGGGCAGGCGATCTGACGGTCAAACCGCCTGCCAGTGCAACAATTCGCGTCGCTCAGTCAAACTGTTGCCCCGAGGCACGGTTTGAGCGTTGTGGAACGTAAACCGCGTGATGGAGGCGCAACCCCGCCTCCTGCATGCCGACATGTCGGGTGACCAGGCACAAACCGCCGCCGGGGGCAGCGGTTTACGTGGCACAAACCGCCGGTGGGGGAAGCGGTTTATGTGTCCACATGGTAAACCGCTTCTCTGTGGAGCATTTTACCATGCCGACATATAACCTCTCCCTGAGGAAGCGTTTTGTGGTAGGGCAGCCATGAAAATCGCTCCTTCGAAGAGCGGTTTTACCTGAAAAGGAAAACCGCCTGTTGAACAGGCGTTTCTAAGGTAAACCGCGGCCTGGTGGTGCAGTTTATATATTAACCGCCCCTTAGAGGCGCTGTTTTTAACAAACCGTATTATTTTTGGAAATTGTTGGGAATGTGTGGTATTTTTGTAATTATTTTTAACAGTGGTAGTTTTGGATTTTTTGCCATAACATCGGCCATTCTTTCTTGGCACAATTTGGGTCACAAATAGGGATGGCAACAAAATCCGAACCCACGGTTACTCGACCCGATCCAATACGAGTAAATTCTGTGTTGACGGGTTTTGGTCGGGTTTGGGTTTAATTCTGTTCACTATTCACCGGGTTGGGTTAGACTTGGATTTAGGTAAACCCGCCCCCTGGGTACTCGTCCACACCAATACAATTAATTTTTTCGGTATATTTAATATTCTAAACAACTAATCTTCTTTATGTTTGTGGAGACATGTCTAATTTTTTCTTTTTAATTGTGTAGAAAGAAGTTGATATTATCGAGTGGAGAGTCAAAAAGCTTAATTGACAAGGAGGAAGGATTTTTCAATTAATCATGTTGTTTGTGGATAATTTGTGATTTGCTTCAATTTTCTTAAGTTTTCTAGATTAGTGTTGAACAATTTGTATGGTTAATTTGTGATTTGCTTGAATTTTCTAGAATGGTGTTTTATATGTGGATAATTTGTATTGAGAGATTGATATTTGACTTTTATTTTGATAGGAACTTGTTATTGTAAAATTTTTATGACAAAAACCCACGGGTACCCATCAACCTGCGGATACTCAACAGGTTGGGTCGGGTTTGAGTTTTTCAAATCCAGTGGGTTTCTTCCCGTGTTTTTTTCACGGATAAACCCATGGATTTGGGTTTGGGTTTGGTAAAACCCGACCCATTGCCATCCCTAGTCACAAACTAGCTGCTAACTCTTTGCCATTTGCAAACGCTCTATTGAATTAACTGTGACGATGTCTTGCTGGCTAAGCTATGATGTACTCATACATTAACATACCATCAGATTCTGCAAAGTTAATAATATAGGGGAACGGATCATGTTAGTAACCTTAGGCTTAAGGTGAGTAACCATGAGTAACCCTTTTAGATCATCTCCATCCCAGAAATTGATTAGCAATTTCTAAAATGGTCCCTACATCCACATAAGCAACTTTAGCAATTACATCATTCAACAATTTCTAGCCATCTCCATCCCTATAATCCTTTAGCAACTTCTATTAGTGGGACCTACAAAATATCCATATCATTTATTATTTTCTTAATAATATTTTTGCATAGTTAATAATAGTGTATAATGTATTTGACAATTTTATGTTCAAGCAAAAATTAGTGTTTAGTAAATTGTATTATAAAATAATAAATAATATCTGAACATTTACATATTGTTCATTTATAGATATGAACCTTCTTTTTCTTTCGTATTTGGATGAAAAAATGTCATACATAATTTATAATTATAAAATATATTTCATAATTACTTTTTTAATTGTATTATTAATTTTATATATGAATGTTTATATGTCTAATTAAAAATATAAAACACAACTACACCATTTTTATACAAAAAGATGACAAGAAAAGAAATAAAAGAAAAATGAAGTGGGTCCAATATGCACATGTGGCATTGCCAAAGAACTTGCCAATTTAGCAAGTTTGCTAATTTAGCAATAACCATCTCCAATGGTGCAATTCTTGAGAATTGCAAGCTGATGTGACAAAGGAGTGAAAGTGGGATGGTGAGTGGCATTTTTTTTTTGACAAATCGAAACGCTTTGATTGCAAATCAGAATAACACGGTTACAATAGGGGAAAGCTCCCCGAACCCAACAACAGGAAAAGAAACCCATATGTCTAAAAGAACATATTGTGCAGCAGAGAAAAGCCCAAGAGAAAGGAGCACAATACAACCAAAACAGACACGAGGACTCCCTTCCAAAGTCCAAATCACAGAAAACAAACTCCTCTTTGTATCCTCATCAATCAGACAAGCACAAAGTACAACACCAGCTCATCCAATACAGCATTGACCATGGAAATTGCGCTAAGCAACCCCATAAGCCGCCTCCTGGGAGTTGTTCAAAGACAACCCGTCACAGTGAATTTTCAATTCGGGATTACGCGGCGGTGGACAGGACTGTGACCGGATTACTCAAACATGATGCGGCCGCCACAGCAATCAGAAGAGACACCCACTTCAGTCAACCGACGCCTTAGGGGATGACGATGGACATGGAGAAGGTGAATGCAATCACCCGAGAGATGACCGCCAAACATTTGGAGAAAAGCATCAAACTGGATCTCTGAAAGAGGCTTCCCCAAACGGCATCTTCCGGAACCATGGAAGAGCAAGGCCAGGCCAGATCTAGAACCTCTAGATCATAACCAACTAGGATCCATCTCCATAAGGGAGGAAGCAAAAAGAACCCACAAAGGAAACAAGGAAGGCCACAAAGAGCTTGAAAGGCAGGAAACGAAAGGGGGAAAATCTACAATCAAACGGAAAGGAGATAAAACTTGGGCCACCGCTGGTCACCCAAAAGTGCTGGCGGCAGCCCTGAGGAAAGAGGCTGAGTTTAATGAGATGGGAGAGCGAATTTGAAATAGAGAGAGAAAATAAACGGTTAAAATTTCGAGAATTATGAGGATGGTGAGTGGCATTGATGTGAGATCAATTGCAAAAGTTGCAAATTTGTATCTAGGGCTGCAAATGAGCCGAGTCGAGTTTTACCCCAGCTTGAGCTCGGCTCGTTAATAAACGAGTCGAGCTCGAGCTCAGCTCGTTTATTAACGAGTCGAGCTCAGCTCGCTTATTAACGAGTCGAGTCGAGCTAGCTTGTTTATTAAAATCTTAACT